GGTTATAGGATCGTTAGGACAGTTAGGACAGTTAGGACAGTTAGGACAAATACGAAAGTTGTAAGGCTATACTACCCATGCCAACGAGAGATATCTTATGGCTTACAGAATGCAGAATGCTACTCAAACGCCATGCAACGTCCACAGACCGCGCATGAGCAGGAGCGCTCTGTCGACCATGCTTGATGTCGTCCAGCAGTTTTATGTAGGAATGTGCCTCTGCCTTTGCAGCTTCAATGAAGACGAGAATACTTGGATGTGGCGCACCAATGCGAGCAGCAAAATCGCGATTGTACTTCTCCAGCGGGTTCGGGTTGCAGTTCCTGTGTGCGAAAACCTAGGTTCCCCAACGTTCATGTCTGTATGCGCCTTTTTTAAGCAACCCAAACTACCGCTTAAAAAAACCAAACTACCGTTTGACAACACCCGACACTAAGCTACTTTCGGTTCGGCGGCCGTGGATGCATGGCACTGGGGCCTTAAGACGTTTAATTTGAAAATCACTGCAACACCTATATCAACCATTTCATGAAATTGAGAGGCAATTCTATAAGACCTCAGCAACGAAAAACAAAAACGAAATCACACATTGTGAAGAAATATCCACACGTGAAAGAGAAAAACAATGGCAGTTTAAGAAATGAACAAAGCTAAACGCTTACACAAAATATATAGAGATACATTCGGTGAACAGGTGTAGCCTCAAATGTTTCCTGAGTAGCCAACAACAGAGCGAACAGGTTTTGATCCTTAAAAATAAAGGTTTTCCTGAAGTAGCTTCTACAAATTCGTATAGCTAAAACGATTATAGCAACAACAGAGCGAACAGGTTTTGATCCTCAAAATTAAAGATTTTCCTGGAGTAGCTTCTACAAATTCGTATAACTAAAACGATAACAGCAACAATTCAGCGAACAGGTTTTGATCCTTAAAATTAAAGGTTTCCTGAAGTAGCTGCTACAAATTCGTATAACTAAAACGATAATAACAACAATCACTACGGTGAACAGGTCTAATCCTCTAAGGTTTTCCTGAGTAGCCAAAATAACAATGCAAACATGAAATCAGCACAGTCGCTGCCAAAACAAAAGCGGCAACAAAATGACAAATCTGACAGTGAAAGTCAAAGGAAAAATATCATCAATATCAAAAACAAGACCTACTTCTGGTAAATGTTCATGTGCGTACAGGGCTGTTCTAAACAGCGACCTGTGGTACATTAAATACTATCCGACAGATAGAGCATCATACACATTCCTCGATGTGGGAGGCTGTAGAAGTAGTGTGATGATGACTATCTAGTGGAATATAATTGTGCTATTTCATATAGAGAAAGCGTATATAACTGGACGGGTTGGTGGAGAGTAACCCCCCCCCCAGAACACCAGACTCTTTAATTCATTACTTCTCCTTTTACCAAGTCCAACACAAGTGTCTTCTCCTTCTACACTCAAGACTTCCTCTCCACTATGGCCGCCTAGACTACGCTACTTTTGTCCTCACTCCATACTGTACTGCCCTAATAACTCTGCGCAAATCATCCCTCCGACAGGCTATAAGCCCAACGCTCAAATGCAAAGCGCCACCTGTCTCAACAGCAACAAGCAGCGATTGATACGGATTGTGAGCGGCTTCATACTTTATTTAGAATGTTTTTTTTTCTGATGCGACTGTTTATGCGTTTATGGACCTGCTCCAATTTACTTCTCTGTCCAGAAATATAAGGCCGGTCCCATAGTTAAGCATGACCAGAAATAAAAGACCAGCTTAATATTAAGTGCGATTTGTTGTTGGGTTGCTACAAACAGCCGAACTTAGTCTACTCTTCGCATTGTGGTAAATTGCGGAAACACAGCCAAGGTTTTGAGGAAGCAAGCCACGTACAGCGCCATTTAGTAGCTTCTTCTTGTTCTCATGCGGAATTCGGTAGCTATAACCCCCGTCTACCTTGAGGGAAGCCTCAAATACCGATTGCGCGTCATGAATACGCGGTCTATATTCTCGTAAGGAAGCGCTCGGAAAGCGTCATCGACGTTGTTCACTAGCTCTTCGATCGTGCGGGCGTTTTTAGCGATGCTGCAGTGTCTGAAGTGACGCAAAGAATCCCAAGTCTAGCACGTTGTAGTCCGGCGAATTAGCGTGTTGAGCAGTGAGGGTCATGTCCCAACCTTCGCCAGTACAGGCTGCCATCACGGCCACGTCGTCCAGTAAGACATGCGGTCTCACATTGTCTTGTTGATGGCGGACACACTTCCCAGACGGCCATAGTCGCTTGATCTCTGGGATGACCGAATGGACCAAGCAAGCACCGTATATGTCACGATCCACCGTATATGTGCTGAGCTCAAGCGTACCAGCGGCTCTGCTCTTGCTCTTTCGCAGCGCAGGTTCGTACACCACGAAAGGCCATGTGCCTATTTTGCCATCCCAGATCGTGTTCTGCTCAGCCACCCACCGCGGGCGCGCAATCGCGACGAGAATCATCACCTTCACCACAAAGGTTTTGCTGTGCACGGTAATGTGGGGAGCGGGCTCATCTGGAGCTAAGTAATAGCGGGTGTTCTCTTTTTTTTCGAAAAAAAAAACATTTTTTGTCCAAATGCACGTAATTGAGAAGAGAGTCAAATTCATATCCACCACGAGCAGAAGGTTCCACAAACTTTAGAGCGAGCTCCATCCTTGCAACGCGCTGCTCATCCGTGAGTTGAGGTTTTAGTCGAGCGTGATGACTCCGAAACAACCCAGATTGTAGGTACACATGCAGCGTAGATTTGGCAATACCGATTTGCTCCGCTAAAGCTCGAAGGTTCGTTCGCAGATGGAGTGGCGTAAGCGCGATCTTCTCTGCGAGCTCTCGGGGAAATTCGCCGTCTACCGGTGACTTCCTACCACTGCGCACCTTCCTACCGCTCTCCACATCGCACAACTTGCCGCTCTTCACCCCATCACGAGCTTTCTTTCACAGACGGTGAATTTGGCGCTCTGAACACCCGAGGAGAGCCGAAACGCGGGCGTAGGTCTTGTCTGGCACTCATGGTCGTCGCGACGCCATTAGAGACAGAGCGTACTCTCGCTCTTTCGGTGTCAGATTATTAGTCCGATTTATCATGCTCACATTGTTGCGCCATAGGTTGTTCCTGTCTCCGGGACGGTGCGCTTCTTGCAGAAGCGGTAGTTCTTGTGCTCCATGGACAAAGTTGTCAAGTGACAATAAAAATTAAAACAGCTATGTGTTTCTGCATGATTGGTTCCCGTTAACTTTTAAAAACCTCAATCCCAAGTTCGACTCAAAATAGGTTTTAGGATATGTCCTAAATTTCCGACGAAAATACCGGTTTTTAATTTTGGACAGTATTAGGATTGCAATGTTTTTCCGGATTTAGAACCTTTTTAGGATACATTTTGCAATCTATTCCAGTAATTTACGACGTATTTTAGGATTTTGTAGGACAGTTAGGACAGGATTAGTACAGAAAATTCGACACCCTGTCAATAAGTATAAGTTCGAAATTCGATTGAGGTGATCTTTAGAGCAGTGATTAGCTAAGTGTTCACGCTGGATGTCAATACTTTTGAAGAACATACGTCAATACGTACCTGCGCTACACGAGAGAGGGAGTTTTCGCTCCAGCACGTCGTTTACAGTTCGAAGCAAGAAGGAATTCAAAACTAGATTTTTGAGCGAGTCTAGCTCTTCCTAGTTTGTGTACCCTCCGCCGCTGGAACAGTGGTGACTTTACCTGTCAGGAACTGCAAGCGTTCGCGAAACAATAATCTGCTTTTCAACATATAGCGTGTGCAATTTGCAGAAATACACTTGAAAAAAAGCGGTGTTCCCAGCGTAAGTGGCAAGACGATTTAGCGAAGCAGAACCGGTATTGGTATCACAATAGAGAACAGTCTACGTAGTAATAAAACGTACTAGCGCCAACTTATTTAAAGCCGTGACAGGTAGACTAGCTTCACTTACTACCTCCGCTCTGAAAAAAATTACCATTTCAAATTATATTACAGCCTACCCAACAAAATACCCTCTCTATGCCGATCAATTTTTGGATTTCGAATCTCCCGCGCTTTCCCGACCAGACTGGCTCCCGCTCCTTTCATTTTGAAAGCTGGCACCTGGGGGAGATCACAGACAGTGAGCGCCAGGCCGTCTGGGAGACCTTACTGTTTCGCAGCGTGGGAGGAGTGCTCAAACATGGAGAGATCGTTCGGGTTGCAGCGTACTTCCGTGTGGGCCGCCAAGTTGTCGAACGAATTTGGAGGCGTGGAATTAATTCGATGGGAGATCGAGTAGCAGCCGTGGTCAAGTCAAGGAAGAGCGCATGTGGTAGGAAGAAGGTGAATCGAGCTGAGCTGTGCGAGAGAATCGCTGCAGTTCCTGTCAATGAGCGCGAAAACCAGCGTCTGCTCAAGCGCGCGTCCAACATGAGCTGCTACCTGGTTCAGCAGCTGATCAAGGAAGGCTACATACGGCGTGCGCTCAGACAGACCCGCCCACTACTTACACCCACGCACAAGTTGGTGCGCCTCCGGCACAAGGACAAGCAAGTACGAGCTGGCACTCTCCCTACGTCACTGCCTTGTGACGCTACCTCACTCGCCAATGCTAACGCGTACATGCTGCTTCTTGCAGCGAGCAGCCCCCCCACCGCCTACCGCTGAAGTTCCAGAAGCCCCACTGAGCGCCCCTTCAGAATGTGGCGATGTAGTTGCCGTCTTAGATCCGTTTTTGTATCTGTAGTTGTACGGCGGAGCAAGAACGCCTGTGCCTTGCTTAGTTTCTCACTGTCTGCTCTCGGTCATAAAGCTAGCTAGCCAGCCTCTCACAAATTAATAAACGCTCAAATGAACGAGGCGGAGCCTTGCGCAAAAAAAAACAAATGGTTATCTTTTTTCGAACGGAGGTAGTACAAACTAATACTACTCGTAATACGTAGAGGTAGTAGTTGTAGCTGCTATGAATCTGCACTCCTTCTTATCGCTGTTATTCACACTCAAACTGCAAGATCTGCGTGATTATTCTTGATCAGCCAGGATTTATAGAACTCAGCAAACCTCTTAAATCCCGAAGGCGTACCCCACCGGCCACTGTTTTGCATTCTTACGGCGGTGTCATCCAAGACGGCCGAGTAAGTTTTTCTCTCCTTGACCAGGTCGTTAAATCGGGGTTCCAGTTTTGACATTTCCCAATTGCGGTACAACCGTTTCAGTTTTTCTGTTATCGCAGAAAATCTTAGACCGACACTCCGCTCTTCCGTCGTTTTTAAATTCGCGATGCTGAGAGACTTGTCACGTTTGAGGTCGTCGCCGGCAGCAAGACTGCGAAATATCAGCTTGTTGGGTGCTCTGCGTTCCAGCCCATTATTCGTGTCAACTGAAGCAGCGTCGCAGTTCAAAAAAACGGCGAGAACTACACACAAAAGGCCAAGCAGCAGACGCATAAGTGGATCTTGGAGCTGGTACTTTGTTCTCTGGCCGACGAATTCGAAAATGTCTTTCGTTCCTTCAGTTCCATGGAGTCCACGCACCTTTTACTAAAAAGCATGAGTCCATGTATGGTCTCTATCCATGATGCTGATCGTGCTTTGCCAGAACTGAGAATACTGTTTTTAATACCGTAGTACTGTAGTCATGTTGTAGCCACAGAAACAGCAAACATTTTGTTCTGTTTTCATTTTGAAAAGTAACGTTACTGTTAATTACCGGTACATGTATAGCTGAAAGCTGCTATCAAAGCGTCGAAATTTCCTGTTGATCTGAAAACAGATGAACTCTTTTTGTCACACAGATACCAAGTATTAAGAGTAATGAAAGTGGCATTTTTCTGTCTGAAAATCCAGCGTGTCGATCTAGACATAATCCATACTTTAAATACTGTACGGTAAAACCTTCCTTTTAAGAAGTACGTGCTAAAGTCTTTTGAATCGCAAAGGTAAAGGCAAAAGTGAACTAAGCTAATTTAAAATGTACAGAGAACTATTTTTACCTTTACGCACCTCTGTTTAACCTTAACAGTTTGCGATGAGGACCAGAAGACTATGGTACAAGTAGGAACTGGACAGTCTTATTCGCATGTACTTAAGTAAGAGAGACTTTATTCCCTTACATAAAGGACATCTCCGCAAGAGAGGCAAAGCTTCCTGAATCTGCATAACTTGAGCAATACCCATCCACTGCAAACACATGTACCCAAACTAAACAGGCTGTCCACTGAACAGTACAGGCTGTCAAAACATGTACAGTATTTTTTTCGGTCTCTTTCCGACTTGTACCGGTAAGCTTACAGTACTCCACCACTGGCCAATGGACTTAATCAATATACTCCCTCAGTTTTAGATTACTTGATCACATCGTGTTTCAAATTACAGAAGGCACTGAATTGGAGTAGCTGGTACTTCATAAACCCCTTTATATCGGATCATCTGAATTGGGTACATTTGACAAATCACAGGATCGCAAGCAAGTTAATCAGACGACCCCCTACGCTTAAAGGTTTGGACTTTGTATTTGAACTTTTGATTTGATTGGTGGAATATTTGAAGCCTTGATCCAGTCTAGTTTTAAGCAAGGTTTTATTATCAAACGCAGCTGCTTATACTGCTGCCAATCATTTCTGATTTCACTTGTTACATCGCGCCGTTCGCGACGTCAATTGCTCACCACGGGTGGCAGGTGGCACCTTCGTAGATCGTAATGATGATGGGTGAATGCAGCATCTCAATGAAGAACGGCAAATCGAGTCGGTAATTTTAGCGCGAAGTGTCTATCGATTAAACCTGTACTATCTACATATTCTCTGAGCAGCTCATATCGTTTTTGATCGATTTTCAGACCAGGTGACATTTTGAATTTACATTTTGCCATCTTGAACTACGATTATTACACCATTTTGAAGGTCAAATGGTGTAATACTTTTAAAAGTGTAAGATGTCATGTAGGAATTGTACCGTTGAGCTGCCTATCGTGTTGAAGAACACCGTGTTCAGTCGTGAAGGTCGGTGAAGAGCACTGTGTTCAGACGTGGGCGTCCGTGAAGAGCACCGTGTTCTGACAAAAGAAGTACAGACACACATAAGCAAGTACTGTACCAGTAGAAGTAAAGTCTGGACTGCTTTATTAAAGAAACCTGTCCTACCTGATATGACCTCCTCTATAAGATATAGAAGCCTATCATGTTACTCAGGTCGTCCTCAATAAACAGGTCATTGCTATTAATAGATTTAGAAGGTCGGTAGAAGGCGCCAATATCACGCATATGAACGAGGTGAGGAAGCATGCCGGCTTAGAGAAGCATAAAGTGCAAATGTACTTCGCTGTGCGTTTGCAGGTCTGTCGTGGAGGCGCACAGGCATATCGTCCAAATGGATTTAGGTAAGGAAACGTTGAATGACCTAGTTTAACAAATTTTGTTAAACTAGGTCATTCAACGTTTCCTTACCTACATCGTGTAGATGGAGAAGCATTGGCTACATGTAGCCGCAATTACATGTACTTAGAATATTATTATGTCATAATATTAAAATGTCGAAATGTTGTTATGTAGGCCTCCACAATTAATGGTTTCGACTTCATGAATATTTGTGAAAATGCAATGGAGTATCTAAAGCACGTAAAATTATAATCATTTTCAGATAAGCTATACACGATAGAGCTTTGTTTTCGAGGGAGGACCATTGTGCCAGACTAAACTTTAGTCCAAACAAGTTACAATTTTTGGAACATATCTTATTTTAGGTTGTCGAAGAATGCTACAAGTGCTCGAAGAATGCTTCAAGACTGCCGGTTGCTGGTTACTGACATAAAACTATGTATAAGTTTTTCCACGGCCACTTCATAATCGTGGGCTATAACATATACACTTGCTGTCCTCAAAATTTCGTATCAGGTTTGTCATAGAAGCAATATCAATTTTATTCCATAGTTATGGACTTGGTGGACCTCAGTTATATCATGTACGACAGGATATCAGGTTTCTATAGGTTCATTTAGGACAGGTTTTGCTGTAATTAATCAAAAATGCTTTTTTTTAATTGTGCAAACTAATTAAGCAATTATTTTATCTAATGGTCCTTTTATTATAAATTGTATCTTGCTAATTGAACAATCCTGTATATAGTCTTTATATTTCGATTCCAGACTAAGCTGGTGCGGGTGATCCTTGCACAGTTATAAAATGAACATACTGTACACGCATGTACTGTACATACCTTGCGTTATTACCTGTACATTTAAAAACTGTGGAAAAAAAACTGACCGTCCTGTCAGCCACTACTGGTGGCCCACCAGATGCGTAAGAGCGTGTTCACTACATAACTGGAGATAGAGATGGAGGCAGCAGATCTTAATCTCCATCTCTGGTTTGTCCGGAACAAAAAAATTCTCCAGCTAAATTTCAACCAATCGAATAGGTGCAACACCAGTCGAAAGTTGCCAATCATGCCAGCGCATCCAAAGAGGACTGCTCCGCGCGCTGAAGCAAATCTCCACGGCGGCGAAGCGCTGTCGCCATTGGCATCTACGTTTGTGGCAGCTCTGGAAGAAATATCGGTGATGTCCAGCCTCAAAGGTCAGCTGTCGGGCGTCGATAGTTCCGGCGACGTGCCCGTCACTTTTGTGTCTCTCGCCCAGGCCTTGACGGCGCCAGCGACAACGCGGATGCCCCCTTCGGCATTTAGCACCTCGGTGGACGACGCAGCCCTTGTCTCTGTAGTCGAAGAGCCGCGGGAAGCGAGCAAAGAAGGCTGCTTCCGACGCACCACCACAACCAGTGTTCACATGGACGTCGAAGGCAGCGGACACGTTATTACGTGTGCGTTTTGGGACGATGAAGCATCGTTTTCAGGGCGCTAAGAGCTCGAAGCAGCTCGCTTCTGCGTTGAGCATGGTAGCAGCCGAGACGTTCCGTCTGGGAGACCTTCAGGTGGATGCAGGACATTGCAAGTCGAAGGTATGTCTAGCACAAATTGTGATTTACAATAGTTGCTACGATGCTTTTTATTAATTAAACCAACGTTGTATGATGTTTTGCAGCTGAAGCACATGCACAAACAGCACACTGCATATCGAGTAGAGTTGCAAGATATAGGAGTGTCGCTTGGAATAGACTCCAGCGAAAATAATATTCTGCCGGTGAAGCAAACTAGTGATGGTCAAAAACGTTATCTTGGTGCATATAAGGTTGACTTCAAACCAACTCTCACAACTGGCGGACAGAAGCATGGGTTTAAATTCCAGGCCTGTCACGGTGCGCATTTGCTTTTTGGGCCTTAGTGGCGCAGGGTCACATGTTGCAGAAAGCAAGACAACCGTCTGTGCGATGGGAGTAGATATAGCAACGACGACAGCATTCTCGTCGTCCATTGCGCAGATGAGAATGTGTAACCTATACATATCCGTCTCCAACCCTCTCTACCTCACGTAGCTAGAGACGGAGCCGAGGTAACTAGTTGTGTTGTTGTTACTACTGCAGTTTTGGTCAACTAGCTATTCGTAAAAGTTTACTCCTTGACTGATCTCCATCTCCAGTATCGTAGTGAACACGCTCTAAAATTAATCTTATCGCTTGTGTGGTGACCGGAGCGCCACAACTGCGCACCTACACAGGATCACAGCACAACATAATTGCACCGGTGTCTACTAGACAGGACAAATACAATAGAAATTTAAATGATCGGACCCCTTCGCTGTCACCATCTCGTCCGCATGTAGTGCAGATCGAATCGATACCTACTGTTGGTGTATGCACATACTGTAATCTCAAATTATCCCTATAGGGCTGTACGTAATACTGTATATTCATAGTCATAGGCGATGTTTACTCGATGGCGACAGTAAATACTAGATAATACGAGCACCTAAATTTACCAATATGACGTCCTCTATTTTTAATCATCAGTCCAGATAATTCTGTGTCTGTATAGTTCACGCTAATCGTAGCACTATCTACTAGGATTTCCGCTGTCCATTTTGTAAAACACACCGGTCTAACTTTTAAACCGAGCATACTGGAACAAAGAGCTCGATGAGATCTGCTCAAAACCGGTCTTTTTCTAAAGATTTGATCATTTTTGTCGAATATCCCGAATTTTTGATGTCACTAAAGTGCAAATCCACGACTAATTGCGAACTACGACTAATCAGCGTAAACAGTGTCACCTATCGCATGTTATTATTATAACATGCGACTATTAAAGCACTCGTACACGCCGATCACCAGAGCCTCGGTTGTCGGTGCCTTCATAAGTCGGTCTTCAAGGATAATAGAATGGGAAGACCTTGTGTCACAGGAAGCGCCAAGCGTCACAAGCATTACAAGCGCGTGTCGGTCGCGTACGGCGACAAAAGAAGCTATTTGGACTACCTAGACAAATGTCACACTGTAAAAAAGGGATGGCGTTAGTGCACCCTTAACTACAACAACACGACAGGCTTGGAGCACCTT